GTGTGTGTACATTGGTGAAGAAGAAGAGGAGAAAGGAGAGATAATAAAACTTTACACCGTAATATTTTCCAATACCTTATACAATCGCTCAGCAAACTCCTTTGGTGGGACAACACTAATTTGCCGTCTATCATTCCATAAACCCTTTGCAAAGTTCTCCAGTCGTTTTGCCGGTGTATACTCCTGCAGAACATCAATAATACCAATATAGTAAACATCCTCTCTTGCGGTGGTATCATCTCCAGTGGTGTAAATAGGCAAAGAGAGTAAACCACCATCACAGCCAAATATACATGTACTATCCATCTGTAGATCGTGTTGTGTTCCTACACCAATCGCAACAGAACTCATTGTTTCTTGCCAAGTAGATCCCCGTCTTTCTTTTAATATAATTGTTTTGGATGGTCCTTCTGTACGTGAGAACACACGACTGCGTACACCAATGAGACAGCTATAATCCACAATATTGAGAGCTTGTAGAAAGGCGGTATCACTACGGAATTGGGCTAAGAGATGGGCACGCTGTAAAGCTCCACAAATGATGAGTTGAGTCGGGAGATCATTATCTTTTAATAATAATGCACCAAATGGTGTGCGTGGGGCTCTACTATCTACACTATCAGTGATATGTGTACCACTACTATTACTATTATGATGATTATGATTAGTAGTAGTAGTAGTAGTAGTAGTACTAGTACTAGTAGTAGTTGTTGTATGTGTAGGATTACTATTACTATTAGTATTAGTATTATGAGTATTGTGAGTATTTGTAGGAGATGTCGTTGAATTACTGGTGGCACTACGACCCACTGTACTTCCCTTAACATCATAAATACGATGAATATAATAACGAGTAGCAAATACATTCTGCATTAACACATACCGTTTACACTCCCGCAGCCGCATCCATGTAAAGGAAAGTAATAAAAAGAAACGAGGTAACATAGTATTTGGATTTCGTTCACAAAATGCCGCATAACTACTAAGAAAGCGATGTTTTAAAAAACGATACTCACTCTCTTTTACACTCTTCATTACAAAATTACCAAAATAGATAAGTGTTGTTCCACTCTTACCAGGTGAAAGGGTTTGACGCCAGACACAATCTGAACTCAGTGCGGCTCGCAATCCATCTACATCCATACGAAGAAAACTACGGATTTGACTAAACAAAACAGGGGCATGTAAAATAATACGCACCTCATCTTCACGTATTCTACTCTGTGAAGAAACATCCATCGCAAATGTCTCAATAAGATCACGATTACTGTTTTCTTCACGAAAAGGTGGAAGTTCACGTGGGAATGGGGTATTGGCTGTTTCCATCACAGCCGCATCATGACAACAGCGGAAATGTAGAGAAATTTCTTCATCAATGGCACGTTGAACGGCAGCAGATGGAGTACTGCTGTAAACACCACCTCTCTCTACAGTAATATTAGTAATAGTAGTATTAGTATTAGTAGTATTAGTATTAGTATTAGTTTTGGATGTCCCTTGATGAGGAGGAACAACATTCGTTGAAACATCACTAGGCTTAGAAGATGTAGGCCCCATTGTACACATCACATTATCAAAAGAGGTGGACTGTAAACAAGAATCAGAAGAATCAGAAGAATCAGAGGAATCTGACGAATTCGGAGATGTACGTTCACCTATTTCTTGTTTCTGTTCAGATGAATGACCTTCATGCTTATTCTTGTCCAGTTTCGGTTCATCCATAGATAGAGGATATGTTGTTTCCGAGGATGATTGAATAGCCTTTGCAAAGGTCAAACGAAGAATTTGATGAATATACCAAACACGATTATGTACTCCTTTTGGATCCACTTCCTCTCCTAATTGATTTGGATTATTTGGTACAGTCGCTATCGTCATTGTGGGAAGCGAACTACCAGACGGGGAACTAAACAATTGTCCAACAGATGTGGATGAAGTACCATTACTTTTATAATTTATACCATCTGTAGTAGTATGTGGAAGGGACATGGCAGATTTAGTCCGTCGATGATGTAAACGACTGCTTGTACGCGGTAGTGTTGTTTTTGTAGAATTATTATTATTATTATTATTATTATTATTATTATTATTATTATTATTATTATTATTATTATTATTATTATTATTTGTTTTCATTGGAGTAGTGATGAGATCTGTTATTCCCGTCTGTGTTCCCAATGTTCCACTCATAGGCGAACCATTTATTCCTGATTGTGGAATAGATGTGGAAGCGACAGAGGCGTCTGTGTGTTCTCCAGCGGTTGTTTCTGTATTCACTTCTTCACTGGCGTGTCTTTCCACAACTTGTCGTAATCGTCGTCTACGTCCTTCCATTCGTGAGGCGGTGCGAATAAAGAAATCATCCTGTGCGGTTTCCGTAATATCCGATAAAATGACATTAGAAGGTTTTTCTTGTTGTTGTTGTTGCTGTTGTAATCCACGCCTTGTTGGGATAAACGTAAAGGTGGGAGATGTGTAGACTTCTGTTTGTGGACGAGTA